CGGAGCCTTATGACAGAGCCTTGTGTAATAGAACTTACACTGGAAGACCTCTTTCAAGAAACACAGTCGTCAAGCATAGCATGATTGAACATGCAAACATGGACTATAATGACGTGGTGAGGCTCAACAAGTCATTTCAATACAACATAATCAACATCTGTAGAATACGTTTGTATCATTTGTACTAGTTTTAACAGATGCTTCTGGGAAAGTTCTCCAGTAGGTCAGCAGGAAATTTTGGACTTACAACACTCAAATTCATGTCCAAAGCACACCATTCCTCCCAGATAGTTTTCCATATGCTGTTTAGTGTACGAGGATGACAGTTTTCAAGCAACTGGTAAAACAGTCTGATCGCACAGAAATCCATAGACGCTGTGTATGGGAACTCGATCGATCTGTCTTCATATGGAATAGCATGAATACGTGTTTCATTTTTCATCTGTTTGAGGTATGCAATGGTTGAATGGAAATGTAATAGAAGCAACCTGTGCACACGTGACTTGTATCAATTTTCCAGACAGAGACAATTTTGATTATGTTGTTTATTGTTGTTTGAGAGACGAGGACTACTACTGCAAAACCTTTCTGTTGCAGGTCTCTTTCTGGATTCTCGTGGTACCCTATGTTTATTCATATTTCTTCCTTTTCCATTGCCATTAAGTAAATGGTACATTCCAATTTTAGAAACTATACAGCCCTTTGCGTCAGAAATAGCTGTTACATACCCTTCCCAAAGGGTAAAGGTTGGGATTTCAGATTTATGATATAGCAGAGTCATTATTTTACATAAATTATTGGCGACATTTCGTTTGTTATTTTTGTTTGTTTTTAGTGCAAAGCTACACGGTAGTCTATCTGTGCTATGACCATTGTAGGGAATCAAATCTTAGGTTTTAGCTTTGTAAATTACTGAACTTACCTTTGACTCACTAAGCGAATCACTTGTGGAAGGTTTACATGTTGCAAACGAGGGTTACTTCTTTAGTAGAATATTTTTTGTACTCACCTATCTGTTGTATATTTAGCTGAATTAAATAGTATGAACTCAACAACTCCTCTGGTGGGTCAGCGATAAGTTACAGACTCTTAACCCCAAAATCCTGGGCCTGATTGCCAGTGGTGGACAAAGTTCAGAAAACCATTGTGTAGTTTTGCGTTAAACAACAACAACCAACTTATTAATGCTTTGAGACGGCTTGAATGGGTAATGAAGAAAAACTTTAATATAAGTTTAACATAACAGCAAATATACAGCGTTTCGACAAGGTTTTATCATCATCAAGATGGTCTCTAGCAAGTCAGATGATTGTGAGACGATGATACCACTCCAGTTTGCGTTTTCTGACCGTGGTCAATAGATCTTCATATGGCTTGTCCGTCCGTTAGCTTGTTGGATCTTGTTGCGGACCTCTTCGTTGGTAATACAGTCTTTATATGAGATGCGCAAGATCTTTCTTTAGCAACTCATTTCCATGGTCTGTAATATTCTTTCTAGATATGCTGTGAGGATCCATGTTTTTCAAACATACAGAAATATGGATATGATAACGGAGCGCAACAGCCTAATTTTGTAACTGAGAGTGACGTACCTATTCTAAAATCAGACTTACTTATGGTGAAAGCTGTAATTTGTAATAAAATATATTTAATCAGTAAGTAAACTCAAAAACGAAACTATTAAGATTTTACTTTACAACAATTGATTCGCCAGTATTGTTTTTGTTTCTTGTTTTTGAATTTCGCGCAAAGCTACACGAAGGGCTATCTGCGCTAGCCGTCCCTAATTTAGCAGTGTAAGACTAGAGGGAAGGCAGCTAGTCATCACCACCCACCGCCAACTCTTGGGCTACTCTTTTACCAACGAATAGTGGGATTGACCGTCACATTATAACGCCCCCACGGCTGAAAGGGCGAGCATGTTTGATGTGACAGGGATTCGAACCCGCGACCCTCAGATTGCGAGTCGAGTGCCTTGACCACCTGGCCATGCCGGGCCCGCCAGTATTGATACATCATACTTCGAACCATATTTCGCACATTCTCTTATTGTTATTTTTCTTTTAGTGATATTTAAATATGTTCTGTATATTTGACTTTAACAAACATCACTAGAAGAAGGGTTTAGGCTCAAAATGTCGCGCCAAATTAAACTTTTCTCAGATTTTACTACGTCGCATTTCTTTTTTCTTTTACTTTTTTTAAACTTGTCTTAAATATTCTGTGTGGTTTTTTAATATATATATATTTGTATCGAGTAAACCATACATTATGTATTAGGCCTAATGCTTAAAAGTTAAATTAGGCTACAAATAACGTTAGAGTAAGAAATATTTAGTTGCATATGAATAAGTATGAACACATAGCTTTTAAGTTACGCAATAACAAGCTCTCTGATGGAAAGGTGGGACGCTCTGGTTTTTGAGTGCAAGATTAAATTCCATCATGATTTTGACGAGTCGGGCAAATGATAAACCTTACGCACATGGACCTAGGTTATGGTTCCACATTACTTCTTTACTTTAGGCTAAATTACAAAAAGTAGTTCATTAGGCTCACTTATGACATGATGATAAAGTTATTTAACACATTTGTTATTTATATTTTTGTATTCTTTGATGAAGAATTCTTTGTATTTTGATTCGTAGAGAAA